ATGGGGAATTGTGTTTTTTGGATGATAAAACTCACACAAAACAATGCCCCCCGCCTTGCCGCTGCCTGCTCTCAAGAAACCTCCAAAGGTGCAAGTCGTAAGCAACGGCCTCTTTTTATTGCAATTTTCAGTTGGATGCAAAGCCTTGTCTTGCCAAGTATTTATGATAACATGTATCATTATTAATTAAAATGATAAATGAGCTTGGAAAGGTCTCAGTGAAGGATGTCATTAACTGTCCTGTTCAAATATCATCCAATTTTCTTTCTGGCAAGAAATCGTAACAGGAAGCGGTTCAACCCTTAACACTCTATTCTCACAATACAAAACCAGGGTTTAGTTTCCCCGGAAGCTTGTTCCATTCTAGCTCCCGAAACAGGTCTCTGTTTACGAGCCTTTAGCAGAAGGATGAGTTTCATGCTGAAGGGAAAGACCTGTCATTGGCAGATACTTGTTGGGAGTTCTTCATTTCGAGCCCAAGGGTCCTCCTGAGGTCTTGAGGCCGCAACCCTACAGGGCTTACCGTTGAGTGGAGGTGTTCATACAGGTCTTGCAATGGTACTCTTGTCATGGGGGTCTTCCTAAGGAAGTTCAAGCCACTCCGTTGCGTCCGCCTGCCCACCCACCCATTTTCAACCAATATCTATTAAAATTATGCAGAGGATGGATATAAAGTGGAGAGAGGGAAGCTCTTTTCCTTCTCACGCAGTCCCAGAACTAGGGGACGCCCACTCCAATGGAGATGTCTGCCTGCCCACCCAACCATTTTCCATCTCTCTCCAAATTCAACCAATATCTATTAAAATTATGCAGAGGATGGATATAAAGTGGAGAGAGGGAAGCTCTTTTCCTTGTCATGCAATACCAGAACTAGGGGACGCCCACTCCAATGGAGTGTTGGGAGAGTGAGAACAGACCAAAGAAAAGATTTCTTGACCCAGCATGTTGTGAGTCTGTGGAACTCCTTGCCACAGGGTGTGGTGATGGCACCTGGCATCTAGGTGCTTTTCAAAGGGGTTGGGACAGATTCCTGGAGGAAAAATCCATCGCAGGTGACAAGCCATGATGGGGATGGATAGCCTCCAGTCTTTGAAGGAAGGGACCTCCAAAGGCCAGATGCAGAGGAGGGGTGTCAGGAAAGAGGGATCTAGTTGTCTCCTGTGCTCCCAGAGGCATCTGGTGGGGCACCTGTGAGATCCAGGAAGCTGGACTAGAGGGGCCCTTGGCCTGATCCAGCACAGGGCCCTTCCGAGGTTCTTTTCCAGGGCCACTAAGCGTGGTCAGTTCACGAGGGCCCTTCCGAGGTTCTTATCTCTTCCAGGGCCACTAAGCGTGGTCAGTTCACATTGGCTTCATTGGATTCTCCATCCCATCAACCCTTTGGGGGATTGGGAAGGGGTCTGTAGAGTAAGACATAAGGTTCAAGTTCCAGCTGGATTAATACCTTGGATTTCTCCACGGATTTCCCGTGGGCAGATCTCTATTCTGGAACAGGGGGACATTTTGAAACAGTTTGCTCACCGTGACCCAGAAAATCAGATGCCTCTCCCTACTCTTTCTGTGTATCTATGGGGCTCTTTGTTCGACTTTCAGCCATTCCAGCCATCACAAATGATTCTCCATTACACCCAGGAGAACTTGTTTCTGTTCAAGTCAGCTAACATTACAGGCCACTGAGCTACTACAAGACTACTTCCATTTGCTTTTGCACCACGTAGGAGTCCCAACACCATAAAAGTGTTTTTGCATGAGTCACAAACCTTGAGGTTCTCCCATGCCTTACTTTTCAATTGTACAACACCAGATCAGCAGCCTTTCCCTGGCTGATACCTCTCCTTCTTGTGAGGACCACTGGGACCTCATTCAGACTTTGGACTTTAGAAAGTTAGACAGATTGGCTCAGGACAACATATTTTCTGCAGAACAGATCCTGGGTCGGGAAAAAGAAGAATGGGGTGGGATGACATTCAATTCTAATCCTCGGGCATGTTTTATGAAAGGTTCCCCAATTGCTACCTTTTTGTAGAAAGGCTGTGATCCTGAGAATTGCTTTTTGCACCCTGTTTTATTCTTTTAAAACTCTTACACCAGGTCTAAGCATCGCAACGCCTTAAGGTTATTCATCTGTCCAGAGGCTTTCCAGCTTTCTGGTCTGGAGACATACAAAACAGGCTGTGATTTGGTCCGAGCAGAATTTTCCAAAATGCCAAACTGGGAGCTGGTCTAAATCTGGGGTGTGTATGCAGGCATGCAGAATCTAAATAAATATGAAGGTGTTTTTATCAGAAAGAGCAATGACGAGAATACAGCCATTCAGGCATGGGTTTCTCACCTAAAATGTTGCCTTGAGAAACTGGAGCTTGATAGTATGAGCTTATAACCTAATGCACATATTGGAATGTTGAATGTTGTTTTCACATAGCAACAGTCAGAAGATTTACTCTTCTGTGTAATGCAACTTGAGTGTCTTTTAATAACTATTGTGTGCCTTCAAGTCAGTTCCAACCCACAGCACCCACTTCCAGAGTTTTCCAGGTAGAGAGTCCTCAGAGGTGGTTTCTCCTTCCCTTCTTCTGGGGGCCACAAAAGGGACTGTGCAGCTTTTTTGCCCAGCGGGGAATCGAACTCCCAACCTCCGGCTCCATAGCCAGGTACCCAACGCCCTGAGCAACTGCTCAGTGACATGGGACGTCACACGAGCAAGCGTTCACTTATACAATGGGGACTATTTTTTCCTGTCAATGCTGTTCCCACCAAGATCAGTTTTGGAAAAGCCTTCGCCTCCCTCGCACCCCAAACTTCCAGAACAAGCTTGGAGTCCATGCAGGAGGGTTTGGGAGAGAAGGACGATCTCGTTCATTGGTGGCATCCATTCTGCTGCTGGATGGACAACATTGTATTGTGCCATGTGCTGAGCCCCATGGCACAGGGGCTAAACTGCAATACAGTGGTGCCTCACTTAATGATGATAATCCCTTCCAGGAAAATCGCCGTTAAGCGAAAACATCGTAAAGCAAAAATAAAACCCCCATTGAAATGCATCGAAACCCGTTCAATGCATTCCAATGGGGTAAAAACTCACCGTCCAGTGAAGATCCTCCACACGGCGGCCATTTTCGCTGCCTGTATAGTGAGGAATCTGTCCCTAGAAAACAGCGGGGGGGCATTTTGGAAGCCGGCGGCCATTCTGAAGCCGCCGATCAGCTGGAAGCCGGCGGCCATTTTGAAGCGCCGATCAGCTGTTTAAAAAACATCGTTTTGCGAAGAATCAGTTCCCGAAGCAGGGAACTGATCATCGCAAAGCGAAATTCCCCCATTTAGACCATTGTTTTGCGATCGCAAGTGCGATCGCAAAAAGATTGTCATAAAGTGGATTCATCGTAATGCGGGGCAATCGTTAAGCGAGGCACCAGTGTACTGCAGTCAAGACTCCGCTCGTGACCTGATTCCGACCCTATGGATTGAGGTAGCTGACTCAAAGGCTGACTCAGCCTTCCATCTTTTCTTGGGGCAGTGTAGAAGTCGAAACAACAAACAGCAACATTGGGTCTGGCCCAGTGATTCAGGAAAGCGCAGCTTCTGCACAAGAAATGGGGGAAAAGGGACTAAGCAGCGGTAATGGGTGCCGGAAAGGCTTCAACAGGATACAAATGCCACCTACCATGCCTTACCTGGAAATAAGCTTTATTGAACATAGTTGTAAAAGTATCTCTTTTCAGTTGAATGACTGAATCATCGGCACAAACTTTTTTTTTCTACATAATTCTTTTTTTAAAAAATCAAGCCTCGTCGTCACTTTTTACAGCATCTCTTTGTGCTTTTTTTTAAAATATTAAAGTTGTTCAAATGTTCTACTTTTTCCTTTCCATATCCGAATTATTTGCATATAAGGTTTTTTCTTTCTTTCTTTCCCCTTTCGTGTCATCCTAGGGTACTGAAAGAACGTAAGAGAATCATAATCATTATAATAATAACTCTTGTTTGGAGAAATCTCTCTCTTCTTCCCCCCTCCCCCCGGTGACATTTAAAAGCTGAAATAATTTCAGGAAAAAAGGTCTTTAAATTGTTATTACCAACTGATAGAAGGGGGAAATTTACATTGTATTGGAAAATAGGTGGAATACAGGTATAGGATGGAGCCAGGTAGCTGAAAATAATTCTTACAAGTTTTATTTTCTTGTAAAAGTGATTGGTTTTGTCGTTTTTTTTTTTTAAATTTTGCTAAAATAATAAAATAATATTTCACAATTTTGCACAGAGTCCGATGAAAGGGCAGAGGCCTTATCTTCTCCGTGTTTAGAAATGAAACCAGGTCGGCTGGCCTGCATTCGGCAGGATAAGTCCTTTTCGGTTTGGTTTTGTTTCCCGATACGCACTGTCGCCCTCTCGTGCGCCATCACACCCCACCCCATTCTCAGTTCGCTAACATTAGAACCAATCTCATTTTGCACAGAGGTTAGAGTAAGAAAAATCGTGTATGTTTGCATGTATATGTCTGCATGTGTGTGTGTGTGTAGGTGTGAGTCCTGCTACCCCCTTTCTTTGCAAGGTCCCATCTTGTGAGACCTTCTGTCTGCATTCAAATCCCACTTTGCAGAATGAGACCTGAGGGCTCCTCCCGTTTTCCCCCAGGTTTGATGGAAGAGCCACGTCCTCTTGGACAAGACGCTGAAAGACCAAGGGTGCTGGGAAGATCCAAAGCGGAAACACCACTCTTTGAGAAGAGCCGGTCAGTTCATCTCCCGAAGGCCCTCCCGTGCGTTCCTGATCTCCTTTCCAGCCAGGAATTTTAGCTCGGTGGTTTGCTTTAGAAAAACAGTTCACACCAACCCAACTGGAGATTCCCTCCACTGGACCTTCTCTCTCCCTCTCTCTCTCTCTCT